AGTCAGGAAAAGAGGGGGAAGAGGAATCGAAAGACCTCGATAGGGGTACCGGGTGTAGTAGGGGACTGACTCGACAAAACGAACGTCGCGGGAGTCAAAGAACCGGTGAAGGGGAGGGTGGTAGTGAAGTCAGAGGAGTCCACGGGGAAACCAAGGAAGACACAGGGTAGGGCGCGAGGGGAAGGCTTATCCGCGGAGGTGTCGCAAACAAGCGCCAAGCAGCCTCGGACACAAAAACGCGGCGCAGCACCAGGGGATCCGGTCCAAAGACTGGTCGGTGAAGCCTCTGGCCGAGAGACACGTGGCCAGAGGTTCAGCTGGTGAGCGGCGTACCAAACTGCGTAGGGCCACAGAAAATGGGGCGCACGGGCGTGGATCATGGAGGTGCGTGCAATCTCCATGACCAAGCATATGCGGCGCTCAGCAACCCCATTCTGCTGTGGGGACTCTAGAAGCGTCCAGGATTGACGGATGCATTGCTCGCGACAGAATCTAGCAAGAATGCCGGAGCGAAACTCACCCCCACGGTCGTAGTAAAGGCAGCTGACACGACAAACATGAGTGTCCGCAGTGGTAAGTAACCACCGTAGAGGTCACCTCATACTTCTTCGCCAGGGGGAACACTGTGGTGTAGCGAGAGTAGTCGTCAACGACCACCAGAAAGAAACTCTCTCACTCAGGGCCAGGGCGAGGGGCGGGGCCCCAGACGTCCAAGTGGAGAGTCTCGAAGGGCTCGGTGGCTGGACGAAGGGGGGAGGAGTGAGGGGTGGCGCGCAGCCGACCCTCGACGCAGGGACCGCAAGGTGGTGCAAGCGAAGGCGGTAGCGACGGCAAGACTCGTGGGAGGCCTAAGACAAGACGTTGACTAGACATAGCGCGCAGGCGAGGAATGGACGGGTGCCCCATCCGTTGGTGCCATAGAACGGTGGGGTGGGCAAGTGACACACAGGAGCAAGACGCAGCAACTGGACCAGACACGGGAACCTGACCAGACACAGCTACCTGGTGAGAAGCGGCAACCTGGCGAGACGGGGGGACCTGACGGGGGCCAGTGACAGTGGTCGGGGGCAGTAGCTTCTGCTACTGCTACTGCCGCGGCTGCTGCTGCTGCTGCTACCGAGGGCCAGTGTGAAATGTGTAGAGACCAGAGCCCAACTCAGTGGTAAAGGTGGCCAGAGGCGCGTACGTGTCCCCGTCGACACAAACCGCAGTCTCGCCAGAAGGCTCAATCCACACACCCACGTGACTACTCACGAGCGGCCTCACACCCACCAAGTTCCTGGAGAACGAAGGGACGTGGAAGCCTGTCAGGAAATCCGTGGGAACCGCTGGGCATGGAAGCGTAGTAGTGTAGCGAGCAGTATGTGGTCCCGAAGTGGGATCAGCCAGTGCTACAGAGACCGGCGTAGGAAGCGGAGTAAGCGTCGTGTGGTTGCAGAAGAAATAGTGCGAAGCTCCGGAGTCCAGAGTGAACGGCAGCGAAGTGTCCTACAAAACAGTGCCTTCACTCAGCGAAGTGTACTGGACTAGTGTCTACACAAGTGCCTACGCTAGCAACAAGCACCTCAGCAACACAAGCACCTAAGCTAACAACACTCGAGTAAACACAGTCAGAAGCACTAGAGTCAACAGCAGCATATATAGCACGAGGAGTTCCTGAGAGATCAAGCAACTGAGAAGCCGACATGCCCCACAGAGCGGGGCCGTATCGCTGAACAAGGGGAAGCTAGTCAGGGGTAGGGCCATCAACCCTGTGGCCGCACTGACCCGGTGGGTGGGTGCGGCCACAGGGGAGGCCTCGGCGAGTACCTGTCTAAACGAGATAGGTGCAGGGAGGGTGGACGGCACCACGCGACAGCTGACGCGGTCCAGACCCCTGCCTCGGAGCCTGCTGCTGCTGTGGCTGCTACGAGAGGAGTGGCTGCTGCTGCTGCTGCTGCTGCTGTCACTGAGTCAGGTACCAAGCCGCCACTCCAGCACCTGCCGCTGGCAAACCAGTAGGTGCCTGACGAACCCGAACGTCACCTCCAACAACTGTAGCAGGGGAGTCACAAGCCGCTGCACGAGACGCTCCTCCAACCTCTGTACTCCCGCCACCTCCGCTCGCCACACCACCTCCGCCACCTCCGCCACCTCCGCCGCCTCCGCCCGCACCCTGACCGCCCCTCCTGTAGCTCCTACCCCTAGACCGCGAAGAAGTCGTAACAGCAGTTGCGGTCACGTCAGTAGTGGCAGTGGGAAAGGAGGCAGTAAAGGTGGGCAGCTGAGGGACAGTGCACCCGTGAAACCGTGGAGGGGGCGCAGCACCAGAGGCGGAGGCAGCCGAGCGGAGGTTGCTCTCAACGTTCTTGAGGGCAGACTCAAGGACCTCGATAGTGAGCTCGCTAAGGTGCTTCAGAAGAAGCGTGTCACGAACCGAGGTAAGGCGGTCAGGGAGGCTAGTGGCGATGAAATAGATAGTAATCGCCATAGGGGGAGGGAGCAGTGCAAGCTGTTCGTCAGTGCACACAGCGCGGTAGCTGGAATCGAGCGAGCGCCGGTGAGGTATCAAATCAGCAGAGCGCTCAAACGAGGACAGTGGTGGCAGTAGCGTAGCGGGCCTTAATCGCAGTCAGGAATCCACTAGCCGTGCAAACCTGAGTGAAATGGGCCTCCTCAGACTCAGGGAGGAGGCTGCTGAGGGTGATGCAGGTCGCAGTGTCACGCGACTTCCACGCTGTGAGGTCAGCACACTGGCGGGCATAACGATCTCTGTTTGCATCGCTAGGGTTAGTGCCTAAGGGTGCAGGATCGTCGGGCTTAGGAAGGTCGCCAGAAGCGTGCGCCCACAGAGACTCATCTGCCTGAACCTGACTCTCTAAAAGGCGGCGCGCACGCAGGAGCCAGACGGAGAACTCAAGCGGCCTACCCTCGGCGTCAAAGCGCAAATGCCTAGAGGTCGCCATAGTGGTAGCGAAAGGGTGGGAACTGCTGTTGCTGAAACCCTAAACGCCTGGAGGGCTTGCGTAGAGTGTGACAGACAGTGCGGCGCGACGGACAAGACGCGACTGGCAGGGACGGGCGCGACAGGTGTGGACGGGCAGAGCGCATGGGGCGCGACCGATGGGCAGGGCGTACGGGGCGCCATGGACGGGCTGGGCGCATGGGACGTGACTGACGGGCAGGGCGCAGCGTGGGCGTGACGGACGGGCAGGGCGCAGCGGGGGCGCAACGGACGAGCAGGGCACACGGGGCGCAATGGACGGGTAGGGCGCACGGGGCGCGTGCGACGGGACGGGACGGGAAGTGCGACGCGGACAGGACGGGACGGGACGGGACGGACAGCGCGACGCGGCAGGACAGCGCGACGCGATGGGACAGGAGGGACAGGCGCGACGCAATCGGACAGCAGGGGGCGACGCGACGGGACAGCAGGGATGACGGGACGGGACAGCAGGGGGGACGGGACGGGACGGGACAGCAGGGGGTACGGGACGGGACGGGATAGCAGGGGGGGACTGGACTGGACGGGACAGCAGGGGGGACGGAACGGGACGGGACAGCAGGGGGGGACGGGACGGGACGGAACCGCAGGGGAGACGCAACGGCAGGCGCAGCGGGCGCTAGGGCACGAGAGAGACAAGCGCGATAGGCGCTAGGGGCGTAAAGGGCACTAGGGTACGGGACAGGCTCGGGCGCTATGGACGTGAACGAGAGGAATTGGATCCCACAGGATCCTAACCTAGGTGATACCGTGTCAAGAATGAAAGAGTTGGTTTTACTAAGGTTGGTTGGGGTACATAAACCTAACCCTAACAGTTGTACCCCCTATAACACACATCACTAAGACTACAACATTTGACGGTAACGTACAGGTCAAAATAGTAACATGTACTACCGTAATTAAATTAAGAATTTGTGGAGAATGGTTGTTATGAATGAACTTGCAGAGTGCGCAGTAAAACGAATAACGAGAATGAGAATTACAGAATGACGATACAATGGAAGTGATGAGGCCTAAATAGGGGAAGTCCTAGCAAGGCGGGGAGGTTGGGCGAGGATGGCTCGGTGATGGATGCGATTGGAGCAGAGGCCGACTCGGGAGTGGTTCGGCGCGACGAAATAGGAAGGACAGGTTCGTCGCGTGACCCTCGGGATGGCCTCGCGAACGAGTGCCTCAGTAAGGATTTGTAAATCCTTACAATGGTACTTGTTGGAGAATGAATTGTTACAATGGTAAATCCGACTCGGGAGGATGACGGCGCATGCGCTTGTACGACCGTTGGCTTTGCATTGAAAGGCTGAACCGAAACAGAAGCACTCGTTTGTAGAACCGCGCTTTACCTCTCGTCGTGCCGCCCACAGCAATGTGGAGCCATCCGCCATCACCTCATCCACACTCATTTTCGGACAGCCAGCGCTCTGCAGCGTATTATATCCCACTGAAACGAATAGTACCATCAACTACCTTTCAGAAAGCACGGACTTCAGCGCCACTCACCATCCAGGAGGTTCTGCCTTCTCTTCTCCCACCCTACCCCATACTCATCTCCTTCCACCTCCTAGGTGCTTCAACCCTGCTCACCACTTCATCCACCACACCAGATGAACGCCGGGACAGCCGCCGTCGGGTCGCTCATGCCTGGTCGTCAGTTGCCGGTGCCACTATAAGCAGTACGAGCACGTATCTGCGTGTTGCACTACTACCTGCTGTCGTGCCGTGGGTCCTTCCAAGCTCCTGCCTCAATCGCAGCACCAGGCGTTAGTCGGGGTAGAGTAAGAGCCCGCCGATTGGCGGTTGGCAGTTGGAGATTGACAGTTGGCGAGTGGCTATTGACGATAGACGATAGGCGATAGAGTACGCGAGAGGAGATAGGGGAGAGTAGGCGAAAAAGCGGGAGGCGAGTGGCGAGCGGCGGGGGGCGATGGAGGAGGAGGAGCAGCTGCACTGTCTGGGCACGCGGTGCTTCCAGTCGCCGCACGACGCCTACCGCCTGCCCACCTACTACGACGTACCGCTCATGCGCGGCGAGAAGGCCCCTGGTCGGGTGCGTATGCCTCCACTCCTCGTTGCGCACCACGCCCGCCGCGTGGAGGTCGTCCCGAAATCGCCGCGCGTCGCGCTGTGGCCCACCTCGATCGTAAAGTGAGCGCCGTGCGCGCCGTGTTCGTCGCGCCGCTCGCAGGTGGCGATCTACCTCGTCGCACCCGCGCTCGCCTCTGCGGAGGCGATCGCCTCACCGCCGTCGCGGTTGACTGACGTCCATTGCGACCGACCATGGAACTGCATGGCACTTAGTTTGTCACCGTTGCTCGACGATCTCTGACCACGAGAGGATGCGTGCTACGTGGACTCGCGAACAGCACCTTGCTACCAAGCACGGCCGCGGTACCACATTGCCTTCTGCATCTCTCCCTCACTCCCGCCTTCCCACCCTCCCTCCCCTCTTCTCCCCCGTCCTCGCCAATCCTCTTCCGTCCAATCCCCCCTCTTCTTTTCCCCCTTCTCCCCCCTCCCCTCCCCTCCTCCCCCTCGTCCACACGCGTCGCTGCGGTGTGCGCGCAGGACTACCGGTGGATGATGGGGGTGCGGCTGAAGAACGAGGCGGGCGCGCGGCCCAAGAGACACGTTCGCCTCGCCGCCTATCGCGCCGTCGCCCTGCCGCAGTGCCTCGGCCTTGGTACGCCTTCCGCTGCCTCCCACCTGCCCTCGCGCGTTTTCCCGCCCGCCTGCCCGCCCCTCTGTCCAACCCTCTGCCCGCCCGTCCGCTTCCGTCTGCATGCGCCGGTGGCCCCCCTCTCTCCACGCGCTGACCCCCTCCCCCCCATTTCTCCCCCCTCCTCCGCATTTGTTCCGCGGCCTCCGTCACTTTCCCCGCGCGCGCAGGCGACGACGGCAGGTGGCGCTGGCAGCACATCCCAGTGGCGCTCCTCGCGGGCTTCAAGCTCACCACCTCCGCCCTCCCCTCCGCGCCCTCCACACCGGCTTCCGCCACCGCTGCCGCTGCAAGCACGGAGGGGAAGGCAGAGGTGGGGGGAGCAGTGGGCGCGCGGAGGGGCGGGGAGAGTCGGGCTGGCACTATGTGGTCCGCGTCTGTGCAGCCGCATGTGCGCCTGCAGGTGCTGACGCCGCTGCTGGGCAAGATAGGTGAGGCGCGGTGGGTGTGCAGGGCACGGGCATGGCAGGGCGGGCATGTGCATCGCATGCTGCCTTGGTTTACTCTCCCCTGTTGGCTTTAAGCTGCCAGAACGTTCTTTCTCAGTACCATTCCCCCAGCCATCACGTGGAACTTCCTTCTGCTTTCTTCGTTCTCCTCTCTTCGTTCTTCCTGCCTCCTTCTCTCTTTTATTCGTTCCCCTCTTCTTCTCTCTTCTTTCTTCCTTTTCCTTATCCCCCACTTGCGCGCACCATGGTCCGTGTGTGCCATGCCGGGGGGGAGCAGCACTGAAGCCATCGCTGGATGTGCTGCCGCTCCCGGCGCTCTGCATCAGGCGCTCCTTCAACGTCGGCACCGCCAAGCTCTCCCTGCGCGCCAAGCTGCAGGTGCTCTCTCTTGCCCTCCCATGCTCTAACATTCTCTCCCACGCACGGCTATGCATTACACTGCCTTGCACCCTGTCGTGCATGCAGCTGTGGAGTGACTGCGTGGCGCTGTGTGCTGCCTGCGCACAAGGCACAGAGAAGGACCCTTTGCAGCTACCGCCGCAGGCTGCAAAGCCTGAGCCAAGAAGCGCATCGCCTCTCTCTGCGGCTTAGCACTTGTTGCCGCCCTGCCACAACGTGCTATTTGCCATGGCTTAACCTGTGTCTTCTCCTCTCCGCGTTGTGCCTGTTGTGTGTGTGTGTGTGTGTGTGTGTGTGTGTGTGTGCGTGCGTGCGTGCGTGCGTGCGTGCGCGCGCGTCCGTGTGCGTGTGTGTGTCTGTGCGCGTGCGTGCGTGCGTGCGTGCGTGCGTGCGTGTGTGTGTGTTTGCGCGTGTGTGACACCAGGCGGAGGGCGATGCATGGCGCCTGCGTCTGCCGTCATGGACCCTGCAGCTGGACTGGCGGCCGGCTGACTCGGTGAGTGAGAGAAAGCGGATTCGTTCCGTGTGCACTGTGCACCACCACATCATCACCCGCAGTCCTTTCTTTCGCCCTCTTTGTTCTGCTCTGCTTGCTTCTAGTGCCTGATTCACAGATGCGTTCACACTTGTAGCCTATCCCCTTTTCCTCCTTCTCACCCTCCTCTCATCTTTCCTCTCCCCGTCCTCTCCCCTTCCGTTCTCCGTTCTCCCCTCTTCCCTGTTGCTGTCCCCCTCTTCCCTCTCACCTATTCCCTGTCCCCTCTCCCCTGTATTGCATGGTTGCAGGTGCGAGTGCAGAGGGAGGAGCAGCAGGAGGACTCGATCGCACTCAAGTACACCAAGGGCTTTAAGATCTCACGCGACTGCAGAGGGGTCAGCCACTTCCCCCCTCGTCCATGCCAGCCTGCCACTCCCATTGCGTTTCGTTCCCCGCCCCACATCACCACGCTCGCTCTCTCACCCTCACACCATCCTCACCCACAAATCTCCCTCATTTCTCTCCTTTCCCCTCTCCTCCTCCCATCCTCCCCCAAACCCCATTTCCTCCCCCCTTCCCAACCTCCCTCAACCCCCAACCACCGAGTGCAGGTGGTGTCAGGGCTGATGGAGCTGCCGTGCCGCATCTCCTCGTCGAACGCAGCGCCACTCTTCTCTCTCTTCCCGCGCAAGTTCGGCCTCGAGTCGCTGCGCCTCACGCAAGTCATTGGTACCAGGGTACGCGTCCCTTCCATCTGTGCACATGGCGCCAAGGGAAAGAGAAACTGATATATATATATATATATATATATATGTATATATGTATGTGTATGTTGTACAGCAGAAACCGGTATCGTACATAGCGGTCCGTTAGTGCAGTTTAATGCACTTACAGGTGGTTGTTGTTGTTGTTGTTGTTGTTTTTTTTTGTTTTTTTTGTTTTTTTTGTTTTTTTTTTTTTTCTGGGTGAGAAAATGCTTTTTTTTTCATGCTTTATAAGCAGGGGTCCAATCCATGGGTCGGATTTGATTGTGGAGTGAGGAAGCTTAAGTGGCAGTGTAGGACTAATTCATGCATGGTTTGGTTTGGAAACACCTGTTTGTTCTTTCTTGCATGTTTTCCTTCGTGGCCATGATTGAAAGTGAATCCGACCGCTTCTTTGGGTGATCAGAAAGAAAAAAGTCGTTACATAAACTTATTGTTACATGCGATCATAAAGGATGGGTGATATCAAAAGGAGACCTTATCTTTGAAACCTTGCACGGCGGGGCAGCAGTATCCGCGCAGCCATGTGGTGTGCGATGCTGTGCTGGATGCATGAAAGTGGCTGGGGGTGCTGTGCTGTTGTGCTCCGTTTCTGTGCTGTTTGGGTTGCACAGATAACCGCCCTTCTCTCTCTCTCCTTCCCCCTTTTCTTCCCCAATCTTTCCCTTTTCTTCCTCCCCTTTTCTCTTTCTCCCTCCCCCACCCGCTCCGCCCCACCTTCCCTCCTCCGCATCCCCTGTTTTTCCCCCGCCGCCAGGCTCCACGCGACCCGCCGCTATCAACGAGGCGGTACATGCGGGCGGCGCAGCACATAGGGTGCAGTGACGTCATCTCAGTGGTGCCGGGACACTGGATTGACCCCGGCTTTGAGCCCGGCGCTCCCGGCGAGAGGGAATTCAACCTCGAGGTCCGTGTGGGGTTGAATGCCTGCGGAGTGGGGGGTGCCGGCTGCTGTGGCTGGTGAGGAGAGGGGGAGAGGTTGGGGAAGTGGCGGGGGCAGTGGGTCGAGTGCAGGTGCTGTGGGGGAGGCTATTGGGCCTCTGCGGTTGGCTGGGATGGATGCGAGACTAGGGGTTGTGCAGGAAGGGGGGGAAACAGGGAGCGTCCTGTGGAAAGACGGGGAAGGGTCAATAATGAGATGGGATACGCTTCGGTGAAGTTGGGGCTTTTGATTTTATGCCCCTAAATGCATGGGAAGACAGCTGTAGCTCTGCTATTCATGTTATAAGTGCCACCTGTGCTGGTGCGCTGGTTATGAGGCAGGCATCTCTTAGTTGATTGCATGTCCTGATGCCTGCAAGCACTGCTCTAATGGTGTCATTTCATGATTTCATGGTGGCAGGTGGCCGATGCATTGGAGAGGCAGTTGAGGAGCACGGGGTGGGATGTGTTGCGTCCGGACAGGGATGCGCCCAATCTTCAATGGGAGCAGTACCTCAACTGGGTCTCAAAGCAGGTAACTCCCCATTCAGGTACTGCTGCCATTATTCCCTATTGCTACTGCTTGCAGATGGAAACACTTCGCTATGCGGCCCTGTTCTGTGCCAAGCTGCTCGAGAACGTTTTTTTTTTTTTTTTCCTTCCCTTGATCATAAAAAGCGATTGTAAAAAACGTTGAAAAAAAGGAGGAAAAATGCGTCGTGTTCTTTCAGTATTAACCCAACCTACTGTGGTGCCTAAGTGGAAAAAAGTGCGTTCTGTGTTTTAAACGTTTGCGTTCAAACGCAGCATTTATAATGCAGGACAGAGTTTTGCGGTTCTTTTGAACGCTAAAAAACCCAAGGCAACGTACGGGCAGGTAAAAACACCTCAGATAAGGCATGAGGAGGAGGGGGAGAAGGACATTGCACAAATTCGAGCATTTTTTCCCCCACAAAATAAAATTTCCCCATAATAAAAGGTTCCCAAAAGTCACAATTGGTCACAACATTACTTAATCATTCTAGCAATAAGCAAACTACAGCGATCACTCCATCTCGTCCTCCTCCTCCCCAGTCTGACAAATATAATTCGGCCAAGCGCTCTGTGTTTTTGGATGCGTTCGTCCCAAGCGTGTTTCTCCACTTAGTGTGGTGCCATGGGAGATATATATATATATATTTATATATTTAAGTGCTGTTGATGCAGCAGGAGATGCTGTGAAGCGTTTTCTGCTCATAGCAGCATATCATAGATTTAAGGTCTTTTCAATCTAACAAAAAAAAGTCGTGATTTGCCAGAAGCTACTGCAAAATACCATCAAATGAAATAATGTTTTTTTTTTCGACAATCGCTTTTTTCGACACCTTGTTCTGTGCTACAGCCATGGCTGCTGCGCATGTTCTCTCGCACTCCCAGCACACGTTTGCCCATCCTCTCCCTTGTCCTTGGCCTTTCTTTCTGCCCTTTCGCTTGTGCGATTGCATGTGGGCATGAGCAGACCATGAGGGGTGTACCGGTGATAGAGATTCACGGGCAGGGCTCCAACGCGGACTACCGGGGCTTTGTGCTGGGCGTCATAGGTGACAAGGACACGCCTCTCAACAAGGTAATGCACCCACCCACCGCTGCGCGCACACGCCCCTATTCACAACTGCCCCTCACTGCATGCTATGTTATGCCTGCCACCGTCAGTGCTCCTGATCGCCAATGTCCTCTGCTGCGCTGCTTGCCCCGCTCCCTCCCTTGGCCCCGCCATACTTTGCCCTTTCCCCTGGGCGCAGGAGCTGGCGCGTAAGTTTGGGCACTTTGCCATGGACTGGCGGGAGCTGGCAGTGCCGAGGCGGGGAGGCACCATTGTCGAGAGCTTCAACTCCGATGAGGTTCGCTGCTGCTGTCGCTCTTTCCTACGTGCACTGAACCGTGCCTGGAATGTTCCTGTCCACAAGCTACTTGATCTCCGGCATCACGAACAATCGTGTGCTCCACCTGCTGCTTCTCAAACCCTTTTCTTGTATGCTCCCTTTTCAATCCATCTTCCCCCTGTTCTTTGTCTGTGCCTGTATCAGGTGCTGCAAATGGCTCCCTGGCACCGGCAGTGGGCAGTGAGCCGACTAGCCAATCGCATTGCGACATGTGTGGAGCGCGCCAGTGCGCCCAACAGGATGGCGCGCGGGGTGCACGTGCCGGCGTCTCTCCTGAGCGACACAGCGTACGACCGCGACCTCATTCCTGAGCCCGGCAGCCCTGTTGCCACGCCCCGCTCCCCCTATGGCTCCAGCAGCAGCAGCGGTGGTAGTGGCAGCTTGAGCAGTGGTGGTGGGCATCATTACAGTCACAGCAAGCTGTGGGCTGTGCCTGAAATGGGGGACAGTATGGAGCGGCGGACACAGCAGTTTAGGGGGGTAGAGAAGGTGCAGCAGCCGCCCCTGTGGAGGGGTATTGTGTGGCCGTGGCAGCGCAAAGTGCAGCAGCGGGAAGGGGGGAAGAGGCAAGGCTGGTTTCAGCGGGAGTGACGTTGCAACGAGGCCCGAAAGCAAGGAAGTTGTGGTTGTGGTGTGGCATGTGATATATGTTCTGTGGTATCTACAAGCTGTGTCAGAGTACCGTATGTGATGAAGAAAGGTACATGTGCTGTGAATCCCTTTTCTCATATATGTGCATGTATTCTTGTGCCAAGACGCGTAACCAAGATTGGCACTAGTCATAATATCTTGGTTTATGGCTGAAGGTCACAGCATCAGCAAGTTTAACAAATGGGCGAGGATTGCATTGTTGAAGCGACATCATAATGTAATCACCTGTACAGAAAAGTCCTTTTCCTTAGGGCGTATTCCAAGGGATTGATCGCCTCTTTGAACTGATTCCCACTGTTGTTAATCACTGTAGCAGAGGGTTACCAGACTACAGTGCTAGAACCGTACTGTGCACGACCGAGGAGATTGGCGAAAGCCAGCTCGATCTCCTCGCCACAAAGATCGATCGTGAGATTGACGATGCCTACCGTCACGAAACCATTTCGCGATGCGCAGAAAAACTCGCATGTAATTGTTATAGGGGCCGCAAGATTCGACAAAACAATCGCGACGGTGTGTTCACTGCGTTTGAATAGCGAAACAACACTGTCACTATACTCTAGGTGGTAGTACGCCTGGGCGGTCGTGGTACAGTGATCGATAATGCAGCGAGCCCATGATATCCGACGAGGGATCGGTGTGCAGCCACGATCCTTCAATGTTACAACTTGCAACACGCCCTTACTTCGCGCCCCTGCTTACCACGCACACGATTGTTCCCGCCAACAACACTCTACAGTAAAACGTGACCACTCGCAACACTCGCCTCGACCATCGTTCCCGCCACTGTTCACATCGCGACCCAACCTCACAGCTCGGTTGGTAACCCGCAATCCAGTCCTCCGCCTCAACAATTCCCAACCTCGGCGCCAGGCCTGTCGCGCACCCACAGCTCGCGCGTTACCGTTAACACACTAGGCCTCACTATATAGTGTTTGCTCATTCCTTCGCTCAATGTACTCTGGCTTCGATAGTGCATTCTGCGTTCGATTCACTCAATTGCACTCGTAACACTTGGTATTCAGAGCTACGATCCCTTCTCGGACCGCGCCCACACTTTCGCTTCGGAGGGGGTAGACGTCCTTCAGCTATCAAGCACCGCTGCTCGTGTGCTCTCTCGCAAGCACACTCGGTAGAACTGAGGCTCTTGCTGAGCTCGCCCGACACCTTCGCCATGGCTGAATTCCAGCTCGCGACGTTGATGCAAGAACGCCTCGACGAACTTCTGCGCCAACTCGAGGAGTCGACATTCGAAATTGCGACGCTCACGGCGGAACGCGACTCCGCACGACAGCAATCTACGGCAAATGCACCAGCAACAGCAAATGCACCTGCACAATCGGACGAGTCGATTGTCATCTCATCGTGAGCACGACAGCGTGAGACAGCGCTCAGACACAATCAACGGTGGCGCTGCCCAATCGATGCCAGACATGGAGAGAACCAGGACCGCGCCGGGCGTAAACGTACCTCGCGAGGCTCGTCGTCACGTCTGCATTGTCACACCCGCCAACAACAACATTGGTGGCTGAAGCCACTCAAGCCGCAACACCTGCCCTACTTCAATCCTACCCAGCGTGGAGGTCCGATGGTTCAATCGTGGATTTTCACGAATATCGGTATCGTGATTTTTTACATGAAGTACGTTACGTCGGCAACGAAGATTCGGTACACCGTGTCATTGCTGTGCGACCCCTCCATGGACTGGTGGCAAGTCATCGTGACATCGCTGAGCGCCTACGAGCCAGTGTTGCAAGAAAAAAGGCCCGCGGGCCCAGCCGTAACCTGGAGTTCGTTAGGCCAAACAGCCCAATACAACACGTGGGACGTGATGTGCGCAGGGCTTCGGGCGCGCTTTGAGCCGATCGCGGCTTCGATCTCAGCATGCCAGAAACTACACCATCGGTTTTCTCGTGATGTGCGAGCAGGTCGGCTACATGCACGAAGCGGAGCAAGTGGATCACTACGTCGGCGGCCTGAACCTATAAATCTCGCAAGAGATCCTTCTTCGCGGGATCTCAATCTTCAACGACATCCCAGTGCTAGCACAGAAAGATGACATTTTGCGCCGTCCGAGGCCGGGGTCCTACTACGGACATCGTACTTTGGGGACCGACCGAGCACGGCACCGTACATGCCGTTGCGTCGAAGTCAGCTGCCACGCCGTTTAAGGGGTGCCGCTTCGCGTGTAACAGGTCGGGCCATCGCAAGAGCGAGTACCCAGAGGAGCTAACACGCTTTGGAGAAGAGCAGGGGAGAGAGTATGGAAGGCAGGGAAATGCCAGCAGTCAGTAGGGTACGGGCCCACTACTGACGAGACTCACTGCTCGCCCGACCTCACTGACCCTCACCGAGTGACAGTACCGATTCACGCAATTGATCGGGCTCGGCTGAATAAGGAGGGTACAGCGTCAGATTGCCCAATACTGATTTACAGGAGATTACAGAGGAAAGCCGTGGAGATTATTATCGACCGAGGAGCAAGTCACAGCATAGTTAACACCGCAACCGCAAGGAAGCTGCAACTGACACTTAGCCGTTGTTTACCGGAGATCGATGCACGCTTAGTTGACGGCACGCCGCTGGCGGGAGAAGGTGGAGAAAGTGAAGGTTCGCTGCGGGGGGGATTTCGGATTTACACAGGAAATGCTCGCGATGACACTGGATGGGCACGACATTTTACTGGGCCGTGTTAGGCTGTGACACTACAACCCGCGAATCGACTGAACGACAGGCAGCTGCACTGTGCGAAGCGGCGGTAACCGGGTCGCGCTGCCTCGCTGGCAGTTGCCTGAGACTTCAACAGTCCACTTCAATGTTATCACGATGAAATGGGGCAGTCGCCACTGGAGCTGATGTGTACGCAGTGGATATCACGGAAGTGGAAGAGACAGACAAATCGAGCGATTTCGAGAAACTGTTGGCAAATGTATTGGCAGTTGCCGAACTTACAGAACCTACCGGAGGGACTTCCACCTCTGCGAGCACACGACCATCGCATAGAGCTAGAACCGGGGGCACATTCGACCGTAAAGCGACGGTTCCGACTGACACAGCCCAAACTGAGCTAAATGAGGAAGCAGCTGATGGGCAGGTGGATGTTTTGGGTGTTGAGTAACACGAGGTCGTCGAGCTGGTAACTGACGGGGCGGCGGTGGCAATCGGCGTTGCGTTTAGCGATGATGTTGGATTTTTTTATGGCGTCCGCTACTCGGGTCCGTGGTGCTTCTAAGGGCGTGTTTCTTTTTTGCCCTCGACGGTTCGAACCGTAGACGGTCCGAACTGCGAAGAAATTACCGGTTTCGCTGATTTCGTAATCAAATTCGTGATAGTACTTGCGATGTCGCCAACGGTACGAACTGTCGCGTCACTTTTCCCTCCTCCGAACGGTTCAGAATTTGAACCTTCCGCAGCTCGAAAAGCAAACGGACGGTGCAACAGTACTGACTAGATATTGGCTCGCGAGAATTTTTTTACTATACGGAATCAGATTGGCGCACGAATTTTGCGGAGAAGATTTCGTGACCTGTGTAACGACGATACAGTGCCCATTACGAAGCTACAGTACTTCGTGAGTTCATGGTCCATGAAAAAGTGACAGAATTGCATCTGGACGGGGCAAAGGTCCGAAATGGCAATTCGGACAGTCGGCTCCTCGCTATTTGGACCGTCCAGTACCAAAAAAGAGAACCGTCCGGAAGAATGCAGAAAATAAAAAAAGAGACACGCCCTAAGATTTCTGCGAACTGTTGCGCGCGTGGTACTGGGTTATCGGAATTCGTGGTCATAGGCACTGTTGGGTTCTGTCCGTAGTTGAGGTAGAAGGGCAACTATTGTGTCGTGGTGTGGAGCTGTTGTTCGCGAATTCAATGAGTGGCAGCTGCTGTTCCCACGTTGCCGGGTCGTCGCACGTGGCTCGAATTAGCTGTTCCATAATCTGGTTTGTCCGTTCTGTTTGACCGTCGGTTTAAGGTATGATGAGCTGAACTGTAGTCGCGTGCCGAACTGCTGCCACAGGTTCCGCCAGAAGTTGCTGGTGAATTTCGTGTCGCGGTCGCTGATGATTGCTGCTTGTATCCCATGCAGTCGAACGACGATGGAGATGAAAAGTCGAGCTGTTTCTTCGGCTGTGATTGCTTTATTGCAGGCTGCGAAATGTGCCATCTTCGTCAGCCGTTCGACGACGACCAGGATTGCGTCATTCCCACTTGCTCTAGCCGGTAACCCCATGACAAAATCCATCATCACGTGCTGCCAAGCACGCTCTGGGGGTGGTGTCGGCTGCAACTGTTCTGCCGGTCGCTGTCGTGACGACTTCATGAGTTGGCAGGTGGGACACGATGCCACGTGTCGCTGCACGTCGATCAGCATCTCTGGCCAATAGTAGTACCGCTGCAGCTGTTGTCGTGTTTTTTCTACTCCGAAATGTCCTCAGATAACTCCGTCGTGTGCCTCTTGTATTAGCAATTCCTGCAGTAAAGTGTTGCCGGTACCTAGTTGCGGTCGGTGCCGCCTTTTACGTAATAAACCCCCTTCACTGCTGCGAATTTCCTCCGGTGAAGAATGGGTTTGTTTGGTAGCCGTGGGTAAATAGTCCTGTAAGTAGTGGGCTGGTTTGGGCGAGTATTATGGCATGTATCTGGGCAGTGGGACGCGTTAGTGCGTCGGCGATATTCGGAGATCCCTTTTTTTAGGTGACTGTGTACTGGAAATTGGACTCGAGGAAGTTGACTAGCGGACTTGTCATGGGTTGAGGTGGGGCTGTGTGCGGAGGTACTATTGTAATTTGTGGTCTGTCAGTACTGTCACGTCTACGCTGGTCAAGTAACAGCGCGAGACCTTGAATGCATGCATGATCGCGAGCATTTCACGGTCGTGTATCGGGTAATTCTTCTCAGGGGGATGCAGTTTTCATGACTCGTATGCGATGGGCTGTAAGC